ATAGGTTGAAATATATTACCAGATCGCTCGAGCGAACGTTATTATAATAAATTATCTACCCTTAACCAAAGAATCTCTAAGGAGAAGAATGAAAGCTTCCATAGACGCAATGTAAACCTGTTAGCCTCTGCGCCGCTGTACCGAAGAGCCACGGCTATACAGTGAAACACCAGCGCAGGGTGAAATTTAAACAGCGCAGTTCGAGGAGATAGTAAATTTTTTACTTTGAAATAACTCAAAATGTTTTATTTTCATACATTTCTGGAGTTTTATGAGCAAAAGGATGTTAGTTGGAATTTTGGAGCGAATTATAGAAATCCTGTCCAATTTTTACTTTCAATTTAAACAGCGAGCCGTACGAAGACAAAATTTAAATGAAATAAATTTCTTAATTCTTTTCTTCTGTAAACTTAAAAAGGGGGGAAAACACATGCCATACAAAGCGTAATAAATTTTTATGGATCCATAGTTAAAATTTTACAGTGAAATTTTAAAAGCAAAATTTGCAATAACTAACTTAAACAGAAAAAATATTTAAAGACAATTAAAGGCACCCCTAAATAAATTGAAAACACTGAAATACATTATAATTATCCGACAACAACTTTAAAAACAAATTACCATGAAAACGTTTAGACAATTATTTGGAATGACCATTGTGAAAACCAAGAGCAAAGTTTTCACCCAATAGCCAAAACCATTTCACTTACAGCATTACATTTAAAAAGTCTTTAAAAGAATTTCACATAGCTAAAACCAAGTACCTCTGACTACAACAACAAAGAACGTTTTCGAACAACGTGGTAAAAGATTGCTAACATGGCCGACGGCATGCTGCATTCTTTGATGCTGCTTTGTTGCCTCCTGATGTTATTTCGCACATGCGCAGTGAGGTACGGAGGGTGAATAGCTTTGGAATGGTTTGCCCCTTTAAAGTAAGCTTCAGGGATATACATAATGTGTCTCTTCGGTCTGACGGAGCCACATTTGCCCCGGGAAACCTTTACTTCTTCTCCTTAGAGATTCTTTGCCTTAACCCTCTCGTGGTGACCACCTCTCTAAGATGAACACAGTAACAGGTATTCCTGAGAATGTAAATAAATATCAATACTGAATATCACTTTTTTCAGCTGATCACCACCACAGGAGACCAGAACTATGTAGAACCGAAGAGGATCGTCTTAGAAAGCGTTCACTGTATTTATCTACAGTCTACATTCCGATTAATAACATCAGTTACAGTTGAAAACGTAAACTGGAAGAAAGAATAACTTAATAGAAAGCATAATAAATAGCTTTATATGATGCCGCCCAACCGGAATTAGTGACTCTGTCTGGCATACCGGGTTCGATTCCCGGCAAAGGCGTGGATGTTTGAAGATGTATGGTGTCTTTGCGACATGGGGGCACTCTAAATATATGGCGATGCGAAAGGCCTCTTGTGTGGTTGCGTGGTAGGGAAGAGGGGTGGGAGATTCTCGGACCAACCCCCTCTGCAGTGTAACGGGATGCTTTCCAACAAAATTGAGGTGGAAATATAAGTCCAACCTCCTTGAGGCTCTGGCAACCATTCTTCCATGAAATACATGGACAAGGCAACGACGGCAACAACAATCAACCTAGAATTAACCTAAATTATCAATCGACCTCTCGGAAGAAATTCAAAATTACTTCAAAGTGTTGAAGCAAGCAAAGAAGCAATTTTTGAAATTAAATGATGCAAATTTTGAAATTTAAGCCTTGGTCATATTATAGTCAAACTTTCTGCGTTTTATTTTTTTATAACAAGTTTAAAAATTTTCTAAGCGTAACTAGAGGGACCGGAAGAAAGTGTAAAAAGTTATATTGTAGAGTCATTAGGTTAATTGGAAGCAGAAAAGTTGAAAAATATGCAACCGCCTTCGCCGGGAATCGAACCACGGACCTCTGGAATACCGGCCCAGCGTGCTGAACCACTACACCACGAAGGCACGCTGGAAAGCGGGAGAAATACCTTATATGCTCCCCTTTTTAAAGGGCGACTAGGGTTTTAGGGGACCTAGTCGCCAAATCCTAGGTGTGGAGAATCATCATCCACAACCCTTTTAGTTCGGGGGCCAGTTGTAGAGTCATTAGTTTAATTGGAAGCAGAAAAGGTGAAAAATATTCAACCGCCTACGCCAGGAATCGAACCACGGACCTTTGGAATACCAGCCCAGCGTGCTAAACCACTACACCACGAAGGAAATACCTGAAACTGTAATATTCTGTAAAGCAGGAGAAATATCTTATAAGCTTTCGTAGTTTTTACAAAACTGATTTTTTTTTTTTTTTAATTTAAAAAGGCCCAACGCTTGAATCTTTGCATCATTTAAAATAATTTTGTAACTAGAAGTATATGCCTACAACCAACGGTTACTAAAGTAAAGTATGGGTAAGAGTTTTTGTGGGCACGAGAAATAATAGCATAACAGCGAAAGTAATCTTTTCATGTTAATAATCCTTTGCCAGTTTAGATCGTAAAGCATTTTCAATTTTGGCAATAGTTAGTCACACCCACTCATTCAATAAGAAACGGAAGCATATTTAGATTGCTGACTTAACAAATGAGAAGGAAAGAATTTACGTGTATATTTTGAGTTGACTGCTCGTTTTGTTTAAATGATATATAGAGTTCTGGCAATAATTTATTTTCTTTATTCTTGTTTATGATTCCAAAATGATCTCTCATTGTGTACCTTGGCTCCTTTTCTTCCAAGATACATCCAACCCCAAATAGGATCTATCAGAAGCTGACAGAAATTTCCGTGTGTAACGAACTGGAACACGTGTCCTTCTGTGCGGAATTTTCCGCCCATAACACTTTGCAGGAATAAATATTTCGGATAACGCATGACTTGTTGAGCAAAGCTTAGCTTAACTGCCTCAAAAAATAAATAATAAATACGGAAAGGATGGAAATTGGAAGCGAGTAAGTAAACTAATTTAAAGTTATTTTGCCTATAAGTAAAACGCGCTCTAATTAGGTTATAAATGTTAACTTTCAATTATTCTAACTTTCGAATTGTATTTTAATATGATGTAGGAATATCTCTTTAGCGTATTCTCATTGCAGATGCAGGATTAGAATAAGTTATATAAATTTACGTGCTCTTAAGCTGCTTGGGCTCAAAGCGATAACTTGCTTAAGAAGGGGCGTCGGAGATTATGAGTAGTACATTTTAAGCTTGTACGTAGTGAAACGTACAAGCTTAAAATGAATAAGCATTACATTTTCTCTCATCTTTCTGTACAGGAGTAGTAAACTATAATTTAAATCCCCAATGCAAATATTGCAGCAATTTTCGTTAGATAAAAAGAAAAAAAATCTTTTAACAGAATGAATAAGTTTTAAACTATTGTTACAAATTCTGTACATATACGAATAATTTTAGTGAAATTATATATGAACTTGTTGTATTTTTCTGCATAGTGCAACAGGAAAATCTAGAGGAGCGAAACTTGCTGGAAAAATAAGAATTAAGAGAATTAAAAATAAGGATTAAGTCTATTTAACATTGAGTTAGTTGCTATTTCGCTAATTTACGATATATCGCCAAGCTGGCAACCGTTTTGGCGACTAATTTTGTAGCAAAATTTCAGAAATCGCCAATAATCCCTGTATCAAATCCTCAAACTCGAGAAACCGCCGAACTTGGCGACCATTTTGGCGATATTATGGTCCAATCTCTGTATCATCGTAATAAGTATTGTAACTGAATTCATATGCAGCGGTAACTTAACAGTATTATATTTCGTTCATATTATAACTCAGAATGCACAAATTTATATCATTTAAAGAATAGAATTATCTAATTGTTGTCACATGTTCTATTCAAATACTATAATAAAGGTAGAACGATGTATAAAAGAAATTAAGCGAACAAAACAAAAAAGAAACAGTTTTTCACAGACGACTGAGTATTTCTCATTCAATTAATTCAGTTCTCACTTCGCGAGAAGGCAAAAATACATAAAAACTCAAAATATTTGTATTAAAAATTACGAAGTAAATCTTAAACACATATTTCCTCGAAAAAATTCCAGAAAGGATTAAGCATGATTTAATTCGCAATAATAAATGAAGGCGTTATCTTTGTTGTTGCGAAGCTAAGTTTCTCTAGATTGGCAACAAATCCACTAGTGTCTTGTTTCAAATGCAAACATCAATGGCCGCCATTAAAAAAGGCGGACGCCACGAAAAATTCTCTTCAGAATTAATTTTAAAGCAGTTTTATAATTTTTTTGAAGGAAAAGAGTATTTTATTCTGTCCTTACGTACGGATATCACGCGAAAACATCGTTAAATTGCATTCGATAGCGGTCAAAATGGATATTTTCGTTGAAATATGCTGCCTGAAACTTTTCGCGATTACAATACTTCCTTTTTACTTCGTACAAGAAGTAAAAATGCCCAATTGAACGTAATATAAAATATGAAAGCTTTCAAATTTTATTTATTGTTTGTTTTGTGTTAAATTTCATAATGTCACCTGACTTGATTTAACTAATGATCTAATATCCGGAAAAATCCCAAATACATGATCCCTGAGGTCCCAACGTGTCCGGATTTCGGACTTCGTATTGTATTTTGACCTTATTGTATTGTATTTTGACTTTACTTCATTTTACAAAATCCCCCGATAATACTTAAGTAGTATTAACCGAATTGTTGATCACAATAACCGATCTATTTTTAACAAACGGGCGGGACTTCGATTACAATATCCGAATGATAACATTAACCGCGCGCACAGTAAGCGGCGTTTATAGAGTTTATGGCACTTACAAGAACAAAAACACACTACCTTTAGTTTTTACTACATATTTCACGTTACTCAATTACAGGTCGTTATAGCTTTAACGACAATCATAACTTTACTTTGATTCAAGCTTATAGACATATATTACGGTGGGCAAACAAGTTTCGGTCGTAAAAGAATGAGAAAACACTTTTGAAACAATTCTATTGGAGCACTCACCGTGTAACCTCCACAAAATAGTTCATTATCATTGTAGTTCGGTTTCGTTTTGAAACCAAACCGCCACATGCTTGATCTTGAAGGTGGTTCCACCAGGCGGCCATGTCCGGAAACAGGGCATGTGAGATGAAGAAGGACGAAAAAGCTGGCAAAAAGGGTGTAGAGTAATTGCGTTGAAGTCATCGTCCACTTTGAAGAAATTGGCTGTAGCATTATGCTTTTATGTTTTCAATAAATAACCTAAAAAGAGAACAAAAAATGAAAATATTGTAAATGAACTTTTTTTACATGAAACTTCGCAATACAATACTTAAATAACATCTGAAGGATTAGCAATAATTCATATGTGCTTAATTGTAATGTCATTTACATTTTCTTTTTTTTGAATGGTGGAAAAACTTTCCTTACAGTACTTGGTACTTTTCCGTTTCGCCGGCGCAAATCTCGCCAAGCAGACTTTGTTGGCGACAGCATACAGTATACACATAAAAAAATTTTAGTTCTAAGAATTTTTTATTTAGAAGGCATAAATATATTAATATGATTTAAAATTTTGCAAAAAGCCAATAAATTTGTAAAAAGATTAATATGATTTAAAATTTTGCAAAAAGCCAATAAATTTGTAAAAAGATTAATATGATTTAAAATTTTTTAAAAAGCCAATAAATAAAGACAATAAATTTGTAAAAAGATCTTAATTTAAGAATTTACTATGCTTTCATGGTTCAATCGCCGGTTCGTATCCCGTGACCGAAAGTGACCTCATCTTACGTAAAATACGCTACAAAAGTCTAATTCTCTGAAATTATCTACATTAGTTTCAAGTTAAATCTTAATTTGGAATACAAGTTTAAATGAAAGAATTATTTCAATTCTTACGAATAGCTTACTCAGAAATTATGTAAAACCGCAGTGCATTACTTCGCTAGTGCATTCTCATTAGAATTGATGAATTTAACCCTACTTTTGCCTTTTCTATATTTTCGCCTTCGGGTGAGCGGTGCGACTGCATCCTAATTGATTTAATCACCGCGAATGGCCTTAGGGCATAAAATTGAACTGTCTAGTAAAAATTCTATGTAATTGTATGCAAATATTGAAAGAAACAACCAATCTGATAAGAAATGGCCGCGACTGGTTTTGAAAATGAAGCGTAAAAGGTTACCAGCGAAGATTCTTTTTGGAATCAGTTGTACCATTATTGGCGACTTTATCGTTTGCGCCGGCAAAACGGAAAAGTACCCAGTACTTTTACTACAATTTCATCAATAAGAAGAATTTAATTTGTATTTTTTGCTATTTAAAAAATTTTCGTTTTGTGCGTATTTGCATAATTTTTCTCAAATTAACCATATTTTCGATTATAATTTGAATCTTCATAATTTTCGTGAAAGATTATTCCATAATCTTATGGCTATCTCAGTCTTAAATATTACGACATACAGTAAACACACAGTTTCAATAATTACTTGAATCTTTGACGTAAACAAAACACCTGGCTTTAAGTCTCTTCATTATTTTTTATTAATAAATAAGAAAGAAATATATTCATAAGAAATACCAAATAAATTTTATATAATATAAATCTTATATTACATAAAATTAATCTGGTATAATTTTGGTTCCTCATATAAACAAGACAGTCTGTCATTTATAGGCATTTCATTTTAAAGGGGAAGAAAAAATGCAAAAATTTGTCACGCGGTCGCCTGGTAAGTAATAAAAACTCTATTGTTATTGCTGTGACTATCTCACTAGTCTGACGGTAACATCAGAACAAGCCCACTAAATTCATCACGGCAAGGACAGCAAGATGGCGCCTGTCATTGGCTTGACTTCCCAGTTTAGATGGGGGCGGGTACGAGGGTCTTCCACTTCTCTAACCTTACCATCAACCTCTTGAGAAGACTTTTGGCTCGACATGTATTTAGAATGCCCCCATGCCATAAAGACACTATACGTTTAGAATCGTCCACGCGTTCTCTGGGACACGGACCCGGGCCGTTCAGTTCGGCAGTAGGTTCCAGTAACCACTATACCGTTTGAGCGGAAATGAAAATTCTCATTTATAATATCAATTTCGGTGCTATAAATTAATATTACAGCACAAAGTCCGTAATCCGGACTCGTCGGAACTTCGGCGATTCCGGATTAGGGGTTTTTCCGGATTATAGATCATCAATTTCTGGTGAGATGGCATGCAGAAATTATACAATTACAAATATGAAACCGTAATTTATGAAATAAAGAGCAATTATGATCTAACGGGTTTCAAAATTTACAAAAAAAAAAGCTTAATATTTATTTGTTTACTTTATTAAACATTTCTTTCAATGTAAGTTGTTTAAGTTGCTTCGTTTTTTTTGTGCTAATACTTTCTCTTTAAAAACAGACATCCTTTCTCGTTCAGTTATAAAGTTCCACTGTTCAAGTCCTGTAATTGCTGTGTCGAGAATACCGACTAACTTGTCAATCGAAATTTTTCCTTTCTAATAGCCTCTCTGTCACTTCACTATCGAAAGCGCGCATGGGTAAACGCTTTACGCGCATGCGTAGCAGACGCGCGCATTAAACGCGCATGCGTAAACGAATTACGCGCATTCGTAAGTTTATGGCATTGAGGTCCGGATTATAGATCATTCCGGATAATGGACGTCCGGATTACGGACTTTGCACTGTTACATATTTCAAGGCAAGTAATATCTGCCAGAACGAATATAGCTATACAATCAGTGGACATTTTTTAAAAATTCTTTTCATTTTCTAGCTTCATCCAGAAAAGTCAAGAATCCAGTTTAACTTGCCTGAAATTATATATTTATAAAACTAATTTATATATAAATTGAAACCTTAAAAAAATGAACTAAAGGGGAGAAAAAGCGTTTTTTAAATAACTTTAAATAAAAATTATTAAATTATTAGGTTATTTCATGAAATAATTCGCATCAGTATTATCTAACAACGCCGAAAAAATATTTAGGGAGATCTGCTAAGAAGCTTCGCCCCGATAGCCCTATTTTGTAAATCGGTTCTTGCGTCGAAATGGGTACCACTAATGGACGTCTGCTGGTTAAGACCTCGGAATATTTGCAATTCGATACAAGTTCGAATGTATACGAACCCTGCTGGCTGTTTCGTGGTTTTCCTCATGTGCAGCGTGAAAACGAGATAATTTTTCTTAGCAAGTCCTCCACGAAAATATCCCTTCTGATACCTCTTGCGTACTTTGCCATACGATTGCTATACCAAATTTTCTATCTACGCAATGATGTTAAATTTTGCTCCAAGAACAGTAGCAGTCTGACACAAGAATTAAACCTTAAATCTGTGAGCTTTTGTGAGAAGACGAAATAATTATTAATATAAATATAGTTTACAGTATATAGTTATTATTATTAATATTATGTTGTTGTTGTTAGCCCAGACATTCATCATAGCAAGGAATCAAATGCGTCTGTCATTGGCAAGAGCCTGAAACACGATAAATGTGACAGCCCGACTTTCGCTCAACTCCGCCCGCAGTATTGAGAGAGAGAGAGAGAGAGCACCTGAGGGGAGGGATCCGAAAGTTTCCCTCCCCTCTTCCCCAACCATCAACCTCTCGAGAGGACTTTCAGCTCGCTGCATATTTAGAGTGCCCCCATGTCGCACAGACACTATACATTTACAAACATCCATGCCTTCTTCGGAATTCGAACCCGGGGCCTTCGATACGGCAGTCAGTGTCGCTAACCACTACCCGTTTGTGTGGCTTAATTATTATTACATATTCAATAAATTGCATAATAAAATTCTATCATGCTTTTTTTTTGTAAATCACTGGGAAACGTGTCTGTCTCATTTTCGTAAGGGAAGCAGGAAGCTATCTTGCTGTAAACCTTCTTATACGTAGACATCGAGAAACGTTTTAAATTATTATCAAGAAAGATCTGAAAAGTGAATATGCAGATTTGAAAATTATCTGTTAGTACTGATGGATGATAAATAATCCATAAAAGTTATGTCTATTTTACAAATACCTACCTTAAGTAATATTTCACTTCCTTGTTTTCTTGTCTGCCATACTGGACGCTGAGTTAACTGTTTCAAAAAACAAAACAAAACAAAACAAAAAAACATTTACTTCCTCAAAATAAAAATTCTAAACCTCGTTCTAGCAATCCATTACAGATTTCAGGTTGTTTAAAATCATTTCTTGCGGTAGTTTCCACACAAATGACATTTTCTTCTGTTATTTCTTCCTTTCGGTAAAGAAATCTAATGGCCAATTTACACATAGTTAAGGGACTAGAATGGCAAGAACTTTTATTTCTTGTCTTTTGTTTGTAAAATTATTCTTTCTAAATACGATCTTCTTTTATTTTTCTTCTTCTTCTTCTTTTTACTTTCCGTGGCAGATAGGGCCGCCGAAAGCTACCGAAATATATAAGCGAAACGGAAAGAATATTGCTTACTTTCTTTCCTAACACGGCGTAACTTTTGTATCAGTAATCAAGCGTAGAGGAACCTATTATATGATGCGCGTTAGGGACCGAACCAAAAGTTATTTTTCTTTAACTCCTTTTACAGTAGAAAACTCTATGAAACTTTAAAGGCCTACGCTCATAGGATCGACAATGCATAGGCTCGGTACTGTGTAGACCGACATAAATAATCAGCACATCGGTATGATTGTCACTAGTTACCAGCTAAGGATCAGTATAATGAAAACGAAAATTTGATTATGATAGTAATGAATAAGACGATTATTGCACATTTATTACCTCCACAGACAAGTACGAAGTTATTGGAAATTTAAGAAATCTCCTGAGGCACCTGTGCCTGTGGTGCAGCTTTTGCTTTATAACGTGATATCGATGACTTAAGAAGGATGAAACATGAATGACAGTTGTAGAATTCATGCAGTAAAAAAAGATAAACTCATTGTAAAAGAAAGATGGAGCCATACTTCAAACAAAAATCGAAAGATAAACTAATGGTAATTGTACTAAACTCAACGTCTCAGCCCCCCATCGTCATTAGCTCGTCACAAATTCATAAATGTTCGATCTAATTCTTGCTCTGTTGCATAAAAGAGCAAGGCACCTGGAGGAGTTCATAAAATATTATACGGAGTTGGCACTTTTATGCATATTGTTTTTTTCTTTTTCTGACGCCAGTTGAATTTCTATTTTCTTTTTCTGACGCCAGTTGGTGCGTTATTTTCTTCCTTCAAGTTCGTACGGGGTTTGTATGGATTT